GCGGTGGTGGCGGCGGTGAGCGGGGACATGGGGAGCGGCCGGGAACCTCGCCTGGGCCTGGGTCCCCCATGCAGCGAAGAAGGGGGCCCTCAGCCAGTCTCTGCTCCCTGCCTCGCTGGAGGTTGGGCCGGCCCTCCCGCTTCCGACCTAGTTAGAGGTTCAGCCGGGGCGGGGCCCATCCGCTGGGAGGAAGCGTCCTCCCAGGCGCACGAAAGGTCTGGGGGCCCCGGGGCAGAGAAAGATCAGGGTCCCCCACCACCCTAGGAAAAGCGCAGGTGGGGTGGGGCCGCCTGATTCTGCCCCCAGGGGAGCTGTGAGAGGGGCTGGCAGGAGATGGTGTGGGTCAAGACGCTGCTGCTTCCAAGCCTGGCCCGTGCACTGGGGGCAAGGAAGTTAGTCTCACCCCACCACCCTTCTGCTCAAGAACCCAAGAAGGGGGCTGCTCTGAGGGCAGATGTTGGGGCTTCTGAAGTTGAGACTGGGCAGCCCAAGGCCCGGAACGGGGCAGCCCTGCCGATAGCCAGCAGCCCCTGTCCCCCAGGCTCTGCTCCTCGTGGTGCCGGGCACCCAGGGCGGCACTCCCAGCCTCAGGTGTGACTGCGCCCGCAACTCACAGAAGAGGAGTGGCCTTTTCTGTTGCAGGGGCTGTCCGGCAGGTGAGTGGCTGAGGAGGTGTGTGGGGAGAAGTGAGGACAGACCTGGGGGGGAGTCAGGCAGGGGTGGGGAGAGGTGGCAGGCAGGCCAGGGATGGGGTGAGCGGATGCTGGGAGAGAAATGGGGAGCCAGAGATGGGAAGGGTGGGAGAGGCAGATGGAGGCCCTTGTTGGCCATCTGAGCCGTCTGGGTTCTACAGGGCATTACCTGGCGGGCCCCTGCACAAAGCCTTGTGGCAACATCACCTGCCTTCCGTGCCCCCCGGGGACCTTCCTGGCCAGGGAGAACCACCACGAGACCAGCTGTGCCCGCTGCCTGGCCTGTGATGAGCAGGGTGAGGGGCTGCCCAGTCAGTGCTCAGTGGGGACAGGAGTGGCCAGGGGCTTTCTGAAGGAAGTGGCTGGCTTGGGCCCCACCTCTGGGTTTGAGAGCCCTGCGTCCACCCGTGTCAGGCCCCTCCACCTGGATCCTGCTTCAGGACGCCTTTGCATTCTCTCTTCCTAGTGACTTTCCTGTCTCGGAACACACCTCTCTGATCTGCCATGCTTCTCTCTTTTTGAGCTACCCTTGTCTCCATTCTTTGGGGGGAGGGGAGTCTGCCCTACCTCTCCATAGGGTCTCTGCTCCTAACGGCCTCTGCTCTGCCCATGTCCCTGCATCCCCAACCAGCTTCCCAGGTGGCCCTGGAGAACTGCTCAGCACTGGCAGACACCCACTGCGGCTGCAAGCCAGGCTGGTTCATGGACTGCTTGGTCCCGCAGTGCATCGGCAACTCCCCCTTCCACTGCCACCCATGCCTAGACTGCGGGGCCCTGCACCGCCACATGTGGGTGACTTGTGAGTACCCCTGATATGGACGCTCTACCCCCACCCCCCTCTCTGCTTCCTTCTCTTCCATCTTGACCCACACCATCTCTTGGGCTGCAGGTTCCAGCAGAGACACCGACTGTGGGACCTGTCTGCCTGGCTTCTATGAATATGGCAACAGCTGTGTGTCCTGCCCCACGTAACTTCCTGGCTGCCCTGGGCTGGGGGAAGGGAGACTGGGAGCAGAGTGGGGGTCCAGGGGCAGGGAGGAAGGAGCTTGGCCCTATGGTGGGTGGGCCCCGCTTCAGGCAAACATTGTATAGCGGAGAGAAATCTGGATTCGCCTCTGCCTGATAAATAAGGATCCTTCAGTAATCCTTCCAGGTGTGCACTAAAATAGGCTGTGTCACTTACGGAGAGAGTCACACTGATATAGTTTCAAAACTTGGGCTGAGATTCGGGACTTGCCACTTATTCTCTGGGGGATCTTGGGCAAGTTATTTCACCACTCTGATCTGTGGCTTCCCCATCTGAACATAGGGACGTTAGTAGGGCCACCCCGGAGCATCTACCATTTCCAGACACTTTTCCAGGTGCTAGGGATACCACAGGGAACAAAACAGGCAAATCCCAGTCCTTATGGAGTTGACATTCTAGTGCCCCTCAATCTGGTCCAGAAGCAGCTCGATGAAGAGTGGTGTTGATATTGTTACTGGGGACACAAAAGTGACATTTCAGCAGTACTTTGAGAACATCCTTGGATAGAGCGAAGCTCCAGGGGAAGAGGCCTGACGGGGGAGGAAGGGCCTTCAGGATGGAGACACTGTCAGGCAGTCCTGGCTAACCCTTCCGGTGCGTAGGCCCTCACCCCGCATCCAAGCCCTCCCCTTGCAGGAGTACCCTCTGGAGCTGTCCTGAGCCCTGTGCGGCTGTCTGTGGCTGGAGGCAGAGTAGGTGACGTGCTCGGGACACAAGTGGGTGAGCTGGGATGGGCCAAGGGGAGGTCGGGGAGTGACCGCCACCCACCAGCTGCTCTTTCAGTGTTCTGGGTCCAGGTGCTCCTGGCAGGCCTGGTGGTCCCACTCCTTCTTGGTGCTACCCTGACCTATGTATATCGCCGCTGCCAGCCCTGCAAGCCCATGGTTCCCGGTAAGTGTGTGCGTACACACACACACTCCTAGGGGCCTGGGGTCAGGCTGGGTAGCCCAGAGCCCACTCAGCCTCGATGCAGGGAGGGAAACTGAGGGAGGGAGTGCTGGTGGGTGTGTGTGCGTGCAGAGAAACCCAGGAGGGGCTGGACCAGCACCCAGGTCCAGGAGCCCTGACTGGTTGCTGGTTAGACTCTCATCTCTCTCAGCAGATGGAGCTGGGATGGACGCCCTGAACCCCCTGCCGGTAAGAGTCTCAGTAATGTTCTGGAACTAGGTGAGCAAGCCCCAGGCCTCACCCTTCTGGAGCTGAGAGGTTGGGCCTTTTTATAACTCATGGTCCCCGGGGTGTGTCACAGTGGCTGAACAGAGTAGACTTGAGGAACCCACGTGCAAAGTTAGCAGTGAGTCAGAGCAGCACAGTGCCTGTCCCCAAGTAGCTGGCAGTCCGCTGGGGTCCAGACAAGTAAACAGGAGCTAACAGTTCGGTGGATGAGTGTCCTTATGGTGTGGGCAGGGGCAGGGTACTTCAGGCAGAGGACATAGCTCTTCCAATGGCCAGGCGAGAAAGCATGGCCGACCTGAGGGAGACGGCGGTGGGGGATGTTTGCTGGTGAGAGACCCCAGCCGAGGGGCCTTACTAGGTAGGCAGGGCTGACCTAGGTCCTCTCGTGGCTTCCAGGCCACCCACCTCTCACCCCCAGACTGTGCCCACACCCTTCTGGTGCCACCCAGCATCAGTGAGAAGGTCTGCACTGTCCAGTTGGTAGGCAACAGCTGGACCTCTGGCTCCTCCCAGACCCAGGAAGCGACCTGCCCGGAGGTGCCATGGTCCTGGGACCAGCTGCCCAGCAGAGCTCTTGGTAAGGGACCTCAGTGGCCTGAGAGCTGACTGCATTGTCCTAAGTCCCAGATGAAAAGCTATGGTTTCCTGAGGTGCCACTTGCCCACTTCCCCTCTCCTAAGGGACCTGGTGGACCTCCCTGCCTGGGTACCAGGCCCTGCCCCTTGGCTACAGCCCAAATTCCCACTGGCTCTCTCTGGCCTGCCCCAGGCCTGCCGATGCCACCTGCGCCTTCACCAGCAGCCCTGGCCTCGCTCCAGCCAGGCCCGCAGCTCTACGACGTGATGGACGCGGTGCCCGTGCGGCGCTGGAAGGAGTTCGTGCGCACTCTGGGGCTGCGCGAGGCCGAGATCGAGGCCGTGGAGGTGGAGGTCGGCCGCTTCCGCGACCAGCAGTACGAGATGCTCAAGCGCTGGCGCCAGCAGCAGCCCGCGGGCCTGGGCGCCATCTACGCGGCCCTGGAGCGCATGGGACTAGATGGCTGCGCGGAAGATCTGCGTAACCGCCTTCAGCGTGGCTCATGACGCGGGGCCCACCTGCCAACTGGGGGCTCTGGGGGCCCTCGCAGAAGCCCTAAGTACCGTTACTTACGCGTGTAGACATTTTATGTCACTTATTAAGGTTCTGGCACGGCCCCGCATAGAGGCGCCAGCCGGCCTCTCCCTGCACACCCCCAGGGTTCTACTTAAGGCAAAGAAGCATAAAGGAACATCGGGCGGGGGTCAAGAGACTGCGCCGCTGTTTCTCGGCCTGAGTTTGGCTGGGGCCTTGGTATTAAATCTGTGAAGAAAAGCTGCTTGGTGTTTCCGCAGGGCCGGGGTGTTAAGTGGCCTGGGCTTAGTTTCCTGGAGGCGTCGAAAGGGCCGGAAGTCTTGCCGCCCGGGTTATGGGAACCACGGTGGGGACCAGAGTGGCCCTGAGCGCCCAAGCCCGCCCCTCCCACTCCGCTGTGGCTCAGTCACCCCTCGAGAGGGAGAGGAAGTCGACTACGGCGAGCTAGAGTGAACGTAAGCCCCAGGCGGCTTTGAGAGCTTTAATGGGAGTGCGCGACGGCGGGACGGGGGAGGCGGCGGGGGAAGACAGGTTCGGGGCCCCCGGTGCTCCACTCACTCCAGCAGGGCAGTGAAAGGGTCCAGGGAGCTCGGGGCCTGGCTGGGACGGCGCGCAGACACCACTGGAGGGAGGTGGAGGCAGAGGTGGGGGCCCAGGAACGGCAACTCCGTCCCGACGGGCAGTTTGCAGTTTTCGTCGTTTCTGGTAAACAAATGACTGAGAGGAAACCCTCGGCGGGGATGGGAAATGCGGCTGGGGCTGAGTCGGGCGCATATCTGGGTCAGGGAGGGAGGAAAACCCCTTCCCCGAGCGCGGGGCCTGCCTCCGCCCAGGATGCGCCAGCGACGCGGGTTCCGGGCTGCGGGGGAGGGGGCTGCAGTTCAGCGTACGCCCCAAAGGAAAACAAAGCCACCACCCACGGGCCTAGGAATAGCTCTGCACAAGCTGACATTAAATGGAAATGCAAATGTATGTAAATAGGCATGCAAATAAGCAGCATCTTTTGCGTCAACGACTTGGGCACTTTTTCTGGGCGACTGCAGCGGTGGGCGAGCTTCAGCGGCGCACGGGCTGGGGATGCGAGGGCCGGGGTGGGGGTCAGGGAGGGGATCCAGCGCGGGAGGGGTGGGCGGAGCGGCCCTTCTGTCCGGGTCCGACAGGCCAGGGCGGGGGTTGTCCCCTACCACCCGGAACTCGCGAGCATGCCGACAGGAAAGCTGCTTCTAGTACTTAGCAATGTCCCCCTTCTTCAGGATGATCTGTCGCTGCCAGGGCGCCAGCTTGGTCTCGTCGTAGCCCAGCGTCCGCAGTTTCTCGGACTGCTCTTTTTCCCGCTGCATCTCCTCCTGTTTCTGTCGCTCCGCCTCTTTCCTAGGCATGGAGTGGGGCCAAAACCACAAGCAGGGATGAGGGCGGGCCAGGCATGGTGGGGGCTCACAAGTGGTTACTAATGGCAGAGGCTGGGATGCTTAATTCGTAGGCAGGGCAGTGAGTTCTATGGGCAGAAGGGCTAGGTGACTGGGGACGGGGCTGGGTTAGGAGCCATGCAGGCAGCAGGATTGCTGGGGACAGATTGGGGTCATTGGGGCACTCATAGGAACTGAGAGAGCAAGAGGCTGTGGCTGGGTTACTGCTGGCTCCTGGTGTTACTGGAAACAGGTTCTGGGTCACAGTGTGGCAGAGGCGGGGTGGTTATGAGGGCAGGGGATATTATTGGGGCTAGGACCTGAGTTACTGGGGACTGGGGTTGGGCTGCTGGAGGGCAAAGGGACCACATTATTGGAAGACAGAGATTGGGTAATTAGGGACAAGTTATTAGGACATGGGGACTATATCTGTACTGCTGACAAGGTAGCTCCTCAGCACATGTGGCTTTTGAGTGTCTGAAATGTCAGGATTGAAACGTATTGCAGGTGTAAGATGCACATGGTATCTCAGAGACAGAGTTAATAAAGAGTGTAGAAAATGTCTCATTAATACTTTTTCTATTATATACTGAAATATGTAATTTCAATTGAAGTAATAATTATTGAAATACGTAATTGAATTTTGATATATTTTGATTATATATTATATACTATGAAGTTCACCTATATATTTTTTTTTCAACTTGGCTGCTAGAAAGGTTAACATTACATATGTGGCTCACATTATATTTCTATCAGACAGCACTGGGCTACATTAATGAGGGCAGAAACTAAGTTTGAGGGAAAGGTGATCAAGGTGTGGATACTGAGGTTGGGTTACGTGCAGAGGAGAAAGGCTAGGTTAGTGGGAGATGAGAGCTAGGTAACTGGGGACGTGGTTTATTATAGCTAGACTCTGGGGGACAGAAGCTAAGTTACTGGGGGAGAGGGGCCAGATGCTGTTGGGAGCACAGAGGCTGTGCTAAGGGCTGTGTGACAAGGGGATGCACTGAAGACGGGGCTGGATGAAGGGACGGAAGGACAAGCCTCTGGGACTGGGTGTAGGGAGGGGAGGCAGGTCTGGCCCAGCCCCACACTCACCGCTTCTGCTCCCTAGAAGGAAAACGAGACAGCATTAGTTGGCGCTACCATCTCAGAAACATGACCAAGATACCCTGCCAGGCCCCGCATCTTTCGGACTCCCAACTCACCTCTCCTCTTCTAGCTTCTTCCGCAGGAGGTCCCGCCTCCAGGCAGGCATGCTGGCCAGCCGGGCCTCCTCCTCCTCCTCCTGAAACACAAGCACAAAGCTTTAGGGTCAGTGTGGACTGGGAGGTAGGGAGCCGAAGGGGGTGCACCCCCAACCTGGGGCGCCTGCTTAGGTCAAGGACAATGGCACACAGATAGGGTTGCAGGAAGAGACTCTTTTGATGTCATTCTACAGGGCAAATGGATGAAGGTATCTGGCCACAGCTCCTTTGGAGGAGGCCTCCTGTCCTCCCACCCAATAACAGGCCCGTGTCCGAGGTGGCGCCAGGGAAGTCAGAGCAGAGAATGAGATTCTCCATAGAGGCAGGTGGACGATGGCTCCAGGCCTGTGACCCAGAATCTTTGGGCGGATCCATACTTGGGCCCCCCCAGGCTCTGCCAGCTTAGAGTGGCTCAGGCTGCCCCCTGGTTCCACTGTGACTTTCTGGTCCACGCCTGTCCTATTCCCAAACGGAGTAGATACCAGCTCTACAACTGTGCGCTGCTGTGACATTTGTGTGTGGGGGGGGAGGGCATCCAACACAGGCAGCTTACAGCAAAGAGTTTTATTACTTTCATGTTACAGCGGAGAACATGTCACACAGAACACTGCACACGTGGCTCCCATGACCTCAGCCAAAGAGGTAGCTGTGAACTCCAGTTAAAAAGCAAAGAGAGAAAGAGAACCACAGAGCCCCAAGGGGGACCCACAGTCCCTCCTCAGAGGGGCTGCTCCTTCCACCTGGCTCCACGAAGAGCCAGGCAAGGCTGTGTAGGGCCAGAGGGGGACCCCTGTTTTGCCCTGTGCAATGCCCAGCCTATCCCATCCAGCTCCCACATCCGCTATGATGGGACCTCAAAGACTGAGGCAGCCTGGTCCTGGCATTCTGGGTTTTCCAAGGCCACCGTCCTGGGTTCTTCCTGCCCGCTTCTGCCATCTGGAGGGCATCAGACAGGCGTCCAGGCCCGGGTTAAGATGCTTGAGGGTAAATTCCGAATTCTGCTGCTCAGATGTCAAAAAGCTCTGCCTCCTTCTCCTTCCAGAAGGAGAAGCTGCGGTCGATGTAGCGGCAGATGTCCTCATTGCTGAACTCACCCATCTCAGACACCAACTCCAGGGGGTCTTCAGCGGGAGTTTGGGAAGTAGGAGGGTTCAAGGTG